GAATTCTGAGAAAAAAGTCGGAATTCTGGGATTAAAGTCGGAATTCTGGGATTAAAGTCGGAATTCTGAGATTAAAGTCGGTATTCTGAGAAAAAAGTCAGAATTCTGAGAAAAAAGTCGGAATTCTGGGATTAAAGTCGGAATTCTGGGAAACAAGTCGGAATTCTGGAGAAACAAGTCGGAATTCTGGAGAAACAAGTCGGAATTCTGGGGGGAAAAGGTCGGAATTCTGGGGGGGAAAAGGTCGGAATTCTGGGGGGGAAAAGTCGGAATTCTGGGGGGAAAAGTCGGAATTCTGGGATTAAAGTTGGAATTCTGGGATTGAAGTCGGAATTCTGAGAAAAAAAGTCGGAATTCTGGGATTAAAGTCGGAATTCCTGGATTAAAGTCGGAATTCTGGGATTAAAGTCGGAATTCTGAGAAAAAAGTCGGAATTCTGGGAAAAAAGTCGGAATTCTGGGATTAAAGTCGGAATTCTGAGAAAAAAGTCGGAATTCTGAGAAAAAAGTCGGAATTCTGGGGGAAAAAGTCGGAATTCTGGGGAAAAAGTCGGAATTCTGAGATTAAAGTCAGAATTCTGAGTTTAATTCTGATTGTTTTTATCGTCAGAATTCAGTCAGAATTCTGAGAAAAAAGTCAGAATTCTGAGATTAAAGTCAGAATTTTGCGAAAAATGTCAGAATTCTGCGATACTTCCCATACTAAACTGAAATAAAATGTTTAAATCAGAAAACTTTTTTTTTTTTTTTTCCAGTGGCCCTAATCCTCTTCCGTAGCTTTCTGAGCTTAGCTGGCATCATTAATGTTACCTTTCAGGCCAGTTTCCATTAAAAACATTTCTGATCTGCTGCTGAACTAAACATCAGATGTGTTTCAAGGTCTAAACAAAAACCTGAAAGTTTCCTGGTTTAATAACAGATTTTGTTTAATTGGGAGAGAAGAACATCTCTGATGTTTTCTCACGCAGGCCACGGGGACAGCAACAGCCGCAACATCCCCACTCTGGTCAAAGACATCAGCAACGTTGGAGAGGTGTCCTGTGGAAGCTCCCACACCATCGCCCTGTCTAAAGATGGACGCACCGTTTGGTCCTTTGGAGGAGGCGACAATGGTGGGTTGATTCCTGATCAATGGAGACCTCCCTGGAAATGACCCAGTCTTCTGAGGGTTCTGTGATCCGATGTAGTCTGTGGTGTTATGCATCACTGCTGTGTCCTCCTGCAGGAAAACTGGGACATGGAGATACCAACAGAGTCTACAAGCCCAAAGTGGTGGAGGCCCTGCAGGGGATGTTCATCAGGAAAGTTTGTGCAGGAAGTCAGTCGTCTCTGGCGCTCACCTCCACCGGACAGGTAGGACATCTAGGAAGCTCCTCCCACT